GTTTGTTGAGTGATCTCTGTTGGTAAGATGGTGCTGACAGCCTTTACTTCGAAGTGAATGATATACTTAAAGGGAACAGTTGTTGATGTTAATTATTTACCTCGTCGTATCGCATTATCTTACCTAATTTCAGAAGTCAGTCTGAAGTGAATAAGATAGTTGAAAGTATGCATACTTAAAATGTTTCGTATTCCATACGAACTCTGGCAAATTGCATACACTCATATTCTATTCTGAAATGATTACAGTGCTTGAATAGTATCCTACTTGGACTTGTATACATGAGATGTAGTACCTGAACATCAAGAACAATGAGATTTTTCCAGCAAGGTAGAGGAATAGTTGAATGGATTCATATTTAGAATGATTCAACATCCATTTGACGGTTAATCATGTGATCTAGTATCACAATTTATTTCAAACTGATTACTGTATTCAATCAGTGCACTACAACAGGTACATCCACTACCAATGCAGTTATTGCACTTCTATGTGTTTCTCAGTACGCCTCACGATGTTAGTTTTCAAGAATACTTCAGCGAACAATTTGAATCTGATTACTGTCTAGTTAATTCATTATCTTAAACATCATTATTCATGGAAATCAAGGTAATTGTTGGTTTTATTAGCACATTTATCTGAACAGAATCTTAATTCAATTAATTCACTAGTCAAGCCATATTCAATCATGAATTTCACTGTCATTGGCTGTTTTTTAATAACATAAACGAACAAAACCTTGGTTTGGGTAATTCATATCCCATACGACATTTAATTATGTGTTCTGACGATAGTGATTCACATCGGAATAAAATTCATGCACTCGAGTTTAATTATGACAATACATCTGACATACGATGTTGACTAATATGTTTTACTGTCATTGGTAGCTTTAGAATAAAATAATTGAACACGACCCTTTTTAGGATAATTCATATGCTATGCACAGCTCAATCTTATGTTCTATTGTCATCAATTAAGAGAGAGAAAAATAATTGAACACGATTTTAATTAGGATAGTTCGTATACTATGCATACCTCCATCTTGTGTTCTACTGTCATCAATTGATAGAGAGTAAAACAATTGAACATGACATTCGTTAGGATAATACATATACCATACCCTCTTCAATCTTGTATGCTACTATGATGAATTGTTAGAGAACAAAATAATTGAACACGAATTTCCTTAAAATGATTCACTTGTAGTGTAATCTTTTAACATGATGCTGTCAGTTAATTTTTCGCTTATATATGTACAAAAACGAATAGATCTATTGTTATTTCTATGCATTTTTTGAGTGGATTTCATCGTAGGATGTGCTTTTGTATTTTTGATGCAATGAAAATCATATATACGAACAGAAAGCTAACAATTGGAATCGTTTGCTTGTAAAGTAATATTCGATAGCATAATTTAAAGATTTACTGAGTGTCGAAGTGTTTGGTATATTTGAACAAAGATATGTTTAGAGTCGTTCATCGACTTTATGATTCAGTACTATTTGAGGAACTTTACATTGCATTCTCAATGAGTTACGTATTTGAAGAGCAAGAAATGGTTGAAACCAGTCATGTATGACGTATTGATTATTCAACAGGTAAATGATGCACTAGGATTTCTTTCGAGGAAAGTTTTTGAATACATATTTTTTCAAGAATGTTTGCTTAGTATATAAGCTGTTCTATTTAAGTAACACACAAGGATTGTTTGCAAGTGGCTGCTTTAGTTGAATAGAGCTATACTTAGGATTATTCATTTTTGCCATGATTTGTTTTCTTATTAGAATAACACAAGTTTTGCCTCACAGTTGATGGTATAGATGATACAACAGATTGTTGCTGGTATCCGTTTACCACGTAAGCTGTAATTATAACACAAAGTTTAATTCTAATTCAAAATTTTGACTGTAGATTGAACAGAATGTTTGTTAAAGCATTCATTTCCTGAGTAATTTTTCAATCCTATAACGCTTGCGATGACTTACATCCAAGCAAGTATTGAATTTGGACACAACTCTTGTTACAGTTATTCTTACGATATATGATCAATAATTTGGTGTTATGCTATATAATGATTTATTGAGTTTACAACGAATATGAACATATTTTGTGCAGTCACAAGGAGGTTAAAACTGTACGATACATTGGTCAAGTAACTTCGAACATTACATGCTCTCATTTAATTTCTTCATATACTTTTACTGAACTTCTCATCTTCATAAACTTTTGATGTTATATAAATGCAATCTAATCTTGAAGCGCATTTGTGTTATCTTCACTTTTCAAAGAACTTTTCAACATTTGTAGATCGGATCTGACGTGAGATCTACTTGAGATTAGCTTACTTTCATATACCGTAAAATATTTATAAGATGATTTTTTATTCACGAACAGCGAATTTACATAAGATGACTAATCAATAGTGAAGATTTTAGTAACAGTTAGTTACCTAATTCTTAATTACTTCGCTCAACTGTTTCTCTTTCTGTTTTGCCTCAGTAAAAATTACCCTTTTTGTCTTTTAGAAATCTTATTTTTTACATTTAATCATCGTTTTTATGTGTTTTAATATTCTCAATAAATACTATTTTTAAAAATACAACAAAGATATGCGAATTTATTGGTGTGATTGTTTCCGATATAGTACTGAAGTACAATGCTGCAACGTTTCAACCTCATGTGTCTTTTGAATTTTACCAAGAGCGATACCAGTGTATCTTATATATACGAAAAGGAGATCTCATGTTTTGTTTTATCTGAGTTAATGGTGGGTAAAAGACCGTGACAAAAATTATTCGATATCTTTTTTTCTTTTACAAATATCGCAATTAACAAAATAAATAATTCTAAGCTTTCTCTCCGCAGGTACAGCACTTGGTTCACATAGAATATCTAAGATTAGAATTTAAGGATTTCTTGAATGGACTTGCTGCCGAATTGGGTTTGAACATGTGGGTGTTGATGTGAGAGTCCGGAGGATGGGTAAGAATGAAATCTCTCTTCATTCACTCACACCCACATACTAGCATCTGTCGATGGATATGAAATTTCATGAAATCACAAAGCCTCACGCTACAAAAGTTTAAGTGATCATACTTAGGGAATGCCAAAAGTAGTGGCGCCGACTCTATAATATTTTACAGAAGGCTTGAGAAAATATTTTCGCTATATATTCTGATAGCTCAAGTCGAGTTCTAAAATTCTATAGTATTTTATAAATTTTCAAGTCATGCCATATTAGCAAAAATTTTGGTGCTCTAAGGTTTTCCTGCCAAGTGAATAATGGGGAAATGATCATTAAAATGCATTATTATCCGTGGCTTGACCATTTCGACCATTAAAATGCATCTTTTTTAGCGAATAACGGTAAAATAGTGTGTGGGTATGGTGGGTGTGCGGGTGTGGGTGTGGGTATTGCCTTCGGTTACACCAACAGCCACACTCGCCCACACTCACACTCACACCCACACCCACCTACATCAACATCCACACCCTTACATGACATGCGAAGAAAAGTTTTTTTTTCTATTGCCACACCAACGTTAGAAGTGAATAAGTTCGTTTGTTTCTTCTGTTTACCCGTATAAACATCAAAATGTATGCTTATTTGAATTAAGTATACTTATATCGCCTGATACGTTCTTAATATTTGGCATCTATTTCCGTTTTAGGTACAGTCCATACTAAAACTTCACCAATGGGACATTCAAAATATGGACATAAAATATACTTGTCATCCCTTGCGAAATAATAAAGTAATTTGAACGACCTTCTCAACTTACTCATATTGTATCGGTGTTTTTCTGTACCTTCAGACACCTACGAGGGAAGGTCTCCAACTGACGGAAAGTTCTTGAGCTCTTAATCGGTTCTGATAGTAGATCTCGATGAGTCTAGGAAAATTACAAAATATCTCGTGCCCACCGCCCTTCGTCCAAAGAATATTGTAGCATCAAGGTCTACAAACAAGGCTTTTTATGTACTTTAGAATTTTGATTTTTCATCGTCAGCAAAAAGTTTAAGTCATTTGAGGATTTTATTCTATAGACTATGCTATGAACAAGCTCGCGCATAAGTTTCAACGTGATTCATTTGACATAACAGCAGATATTGAATTTCAGTCATATACATGTATTACACATGTTTTATTTGCAAGTAAAACTCACATACTTATATTTTATTTAATGAAAATGATAGTTAAGGAAGATATGTTCAAAACTTAGGGCTGCTTTCACCAGCTGCAACAAATGAATGGAGGAGAAGTACATTTTTTTGCTGCTGGCAGGACGTTTGGTTGATTGTAAAACATGTATCGTGGACGTTTTGGAAATTTTCAGGATGCTCATCAATGTAACCTGATGCAAACCATGAAGTATCTGAAAGTATTGATGAGGATAATTCTCTAATTTTTCACAGCACTGTACATTGAAATATATTGAAATATTGTGCCATAGATATTCACATATCAATCAAATGTACCATCATTTATTTAATTAAAATGGAGATTTAAATGAAGAGGCTTCTATATTCGTCCTATCTGTAGTACATCATGTATCAAATCAAACTCAAGTGAATGATATATGGCTGCTTGTGGGCATCAAACGAAATGAATTTCAGTTCGATTGCATAAGAAACTTCAAAGCTTATTGAAATCAACATTCTGCGAAGTGATTATGTAGAAGATTAAAGTGAAAATATAATGAAAACGAAAATATTTTCATGATCAGCTGACATCTTGTTGAAATCTATTTTTCATCCAATGATAATCAATCGTCTGTGTTCCATATGTTCGTTATAGAATGTCATCAAGGTCATTATATATGTAGATCGTCCAACAAATTTTTTACTTTTTTTAAATATATTTCACACGTTAATCAAATATAAACATATTTGACGAAAAAATAGCTAGCCCGTCAAGAAACTTTAAGTATTATACAAAATTTTCATTCGATTTATATATTTCATACTTTGTTTTCCTATTAAATTAGAATAAAGATATGAAACGTATTATTGATGATATTATTAATCAAATTTTACCAGTGAAAAGTTTTCGTTGTAATGTAACTTGTTTACTTGATTTACCAGATGACATTCTCTTAATGATCTGCCGTTATTTATCAACATATGACGTTCTTCATTGTTTTTATACACCTGAAAGATTAAATTCGAATTTTCATTGTTTGGTTTATGATTATTATACAAAGATCAACCTTGGTTCAATAGCATTTGATAAACGTGATTATTTGTTCAATTTATTTTCTCATCCAAATAATCCTCTTCGACCTAAATCATTAATATTAAATAATGAACATGGATTTTATTTAGATAAACATTATTTCTTTTCTTTACATAATAATATAATTCAATCAGTACTTATAAATTTGACACATCTTACTTTAATCAATTGTACTTCAACTGATCTTAATATTATCAAGAACTATTATAAGGATTTCACAAAACTTGAATATTTTCATGCTACTGTTCATGAATGTTCTACAAAATCAGGTGAGTTTATCATTAAGAGGATTTAGTTCATAAAAGTAAACTATTTTCTTTATTACATTCAACCCATTGATTATTTCTGAGTTAAATAAGCAAATGTAATAAACACGTGGAAAAAATCTTGATCCTTTTTAGAACTTAGTCACATAGATCAGAGTGATATACCATTCAATAAATTATTATTCGCTGGTCGAATGTGTACTCTACATATAGTTATCTTCGAAACATTTTATGGACTTTCATTGTATAAAACTTTAAAACCTCATCAAAGTCTTCGTCATTTTAATATTGTTTTACAAAAAATTGATGATTTATATATATTAATCAGTGGACTTGTGCCAAACATCGAAACACTCATTGTTCAATTGCGTGAATCAGGCCTATCAAGTAAATATAATTCGACTTTTTAATAGAACTTGAGAACTTTCGTCGTAAGACATATTTTTCATACATCATTCGTAGCGACTCTTTATCTTCTTTATCTATTTTCCATGAAAAAAAAACGCTTCATGAGTCCTTGTGTTTCTAATCGTTTGAAGTGGATTTGTTCACCATCGAGATCATTATTTCTTAGAAGTATTATACTTGTGAAATGAGAGTTATTTTTATAATTTATATTTTTTTTTCAGCACGGTATCGTCCTCAATGCCAAGTATCGTGTCCTCGATTGATTGATTTTACATTATTGGAAAGTTCTACTAATATAAATCTTGATGATATTGAATCTATACTTGGTTACATGCCTAATCTTCGTAAATTAACATTGAGCATTCGTGATACACCTGATTCAAGATTTACTGAAGGATCAACAATGGAACATATGCTAATGAAACAGGTTCCTCATCTTGATCAATTTGATTATACAATGACGCATCGAATTGGTAATAAAATACCAATTGATGATTTTGTTCTATGGCCGATGAATATTGTTTTTTATGAAAACGAAAATACTAGATGGATACATTTGTTTTCACTTCCATGGCCATCAAATCAGCAAGATAAACGAGAAGTACCTATCATCAACGGTAAATACAATATTTCAATTACATCAGATGTTAAATATACCCACAATATCAATCATATTAATATTACAACAAATGATGAAATGTTAGAAATCAATGAAAAATTTAGTCGAGTCCGTGAGCTTACAACTTGTTTATCAATTAATATCGAATTACCACGAAAGATTTCTAAATTAATTCTCAGTGGACAAGCACGTAAATATTTTCTTTCTAACTTTTATACAAAAAAAAATTATTTTCTATCTTAATTTTAGCTGTTAGTTCGATAAACTCTATTCCACAAGAATATATTTATAATTTAGTTGTTGAACGTCGTTTAATAGATGAAAATGAAATTAATGTACTTGCTCACCAATTTCCTCGTGTAAAAAATTTAGAATTATTATTTCCATTGGAAAAAACTTCGTGTCTTCGTTGTTTACAAACTCTTTTTCGTCTTGCTGATAATACTGGAAAACGTTGTTTTTGGTCTGACATGATTAACTTTCATACAAAATTTACTCATGGTCAACCATGCTGGATTTGGAACAATGACGAATTTCACCATTGGCTTCTTTCAAATACTGATCTGAAATTTCGACCAAATCAATTTTATATTTCGGTTTCGGGTTCAATATTTTCTATTTGGCTTTGACTACTTTTCTTATTGATATAAAACTTGTTTAGATAATTTTCACAGTTTTTCTTCGTGATTTCTTCAACTGAAATGCCAATATCATATTCAAAGAAAAATTATAAGTGCTATTGCAGTTACGGCCTTTTATCATACACCAACCTGTAGCAAATGATCACTCGATAAGGTTCTAGATGAGTTTTTTGCTTGATACGTAATATACCCAGGTCAAAGTTTCCGATCACCGGATCCCGCAGGATCCTACAGAAAAGATGCGGAAAAATTCACCGTATCCAGCAGAAAAACACCGGAAGTCACCGGAACAAGGTGACAGTATTCCGGTCGGAACATTTTCGGATTTTTCTGGTGACTTCCGAACAACTTTCTGCAAGAAACGGAAAGAATTTGACCAGAAGTCACCGAAAAAAATTCGAAAATTTTCCGGCCAGAATACTGCCATCCTGTTTCGGCGACTTCCGGTGTTTTCCTGCAGGAGCCAGCTCGTACTGTTCGACCTGGGTAAACATCCTTCATGTTCAAGTTAGAAAGTTCTTCACTTAATTCTACAATAAAATGCTCGTGGATTTTTCTCGACCGTGATTTTTGCATAAATTTTCGAATTTGGAACAAATTTATTTTTAATAGTGTTCATTCCATTCTCCTAAACTGCTTTTTTTTTATTTAATAGGTAGATATATTTTCTTTTGAATGAGGGGAAAGGGATTTCATATTTGACGTTCGACATGAAATACTCATAAATAAAACGAAATTAAAATTAAAAAACACTTTTCCTCATTCGAAGCAGTAGGGAGAGTTCCCTTCCAAATGATAATAGTTTGAAATATATTGAAAAAAATATTTGTACGCGTGAAATCCCAACTTCGTGTGTTGGCTCTCGAAAATATCTCGAACGATGAGTTTTAAAGCGAACAATCTTTTTTCTTAGTAGTGTATTATCATTAGTTGAACATCTTCAAAAACTTTCATAGAAACTCCATGCATTGTATTCAAAAAATGCTTTCGGAGGGAAGGAGGCCTTCAGAAAAAAAGACATCAAAACAAAAAAATGATTGTTCACCACCAAACAGTGATTGACTGTGGCAACATACTTCCATAGAAAATTAGAACATCAATTTTATTCAAGTCATTACTTGAAGATAGTGTAACAAAAGTCAGAGAAACATTTCGTTTTGGTTTTTGAGTGTTAGCACAGAATGGTCTTTTTTTTATTGATCTGTACTGATACTGGAAAATTCAAAAAAAAAAAAATTAATAGAAATACATTTTAAAACCAAACTGCAACGCGAAAGTTTTGGTGCGAAATGTTTGCTCATCTTTCTGACACTTGGAAGCCATTGTTCAAGGGACAAGAGCACTCAATTAAAATTGGAATTATGTACTCTTTCAGACTATATGCACAGAATTTTCTTTTCACATAATCTTGTTAGACTATTCGAAAGTTTTTTCAAGGATCCTACAAGCTACGTCTGCACAAAGAAAAATATGAAACAATGTGCAGTTTATATTTGGAAATAGTTTTAACTCGAGATTAATGTAAGTCATTCAATTTTCTACTAAATCGCACTTGAAAATTGTACGTCTTTTCAAAAGACGTACTTTCTATGTGAGGTAACACTACTTAAAAAGTCGATTTTTCAAAAAACAATTATATAAAAAGATATTTTTTCAAGATTTTAATGCAAAATAAAACAGATTCTAAAATAGTACAACTTGCAAGCGAAAAATTTGCTTTGCAATACTGAACTATTAAAAACTGCTTTACATTTTGCTTTCAAGTAGGTTTTAGCCAGTGCACTAAATAAAATTCTATACGGACATTATGTTGGATAGCTTGAAAATTTGTTTCGTATATGATCATCCTTACATCAAAAGAAAACTCTTTATATAAATTCCGAAAGAGCAAACAAGTTTGATTCTAACGGACTAATTTTCACTCTAAATAATTGCTTCCGAATGCCTGAGAAATGAGCAAATATTTCCTACCAACACTTTCGTGCCTAGTGATCTTTCGTTCATAGAAAATTCACTTTTAATAACAATAAGTAGTAAATCTCAGATTTTCATTTGAGAATAGTCAGACGGATTATTCAAAATGTATTGTTATGCGATTTAAATACAATGGATCAAGCACACAGGTACTACAGAAATCAATATGCATGAAAAATTAGTTTTGTTTAAAAAAAACTCAAGTTTGAAACAAAGTCCGGATTTCGTCACTTTCGAAGATATACTGAAAAACAGCTGTACAAATAGGAAAGAAAATGACGACCCTAAGTGTAAAAATGAAATTAATAAATTGGTTCCGTTCGTGTTGACATATTGCGACGGATAACTGTCTTTTTTTTTAATTATCAATAAAGTCGATATGCATCAATGACTCCAATTCGCTACCAGTAAGAGTACTCAATCGATCGAATAGAGCCACTTGAAAACTTGCTGTTCCATGAACTGATGCATGGAATGTAGCCTGTTCTGCACATACACCCATGACAGCGAAACCGCCAACAGCTGCTACCAAATAGTCTTTAGTGACACCGGCAAAGCAAGCTATCAGAGCACTAACTATGCATTCCATACCAGTAAGTTGATTGAGGCGATCGCAACTATTCTTAATTATCACTATCCGATGTGCATCAGAAACATAGTTCTTTTGACCACTAAGTGCCACAGTAGTTTTTCCATTTCTTTTCTGAGCTAATTGATGTACCATCTGACCCGGATCGAGCACGCTGGTAACGGTGTCAGTTCCATGAACATGAACTGTTGCATTGTAAATGTGTCTAATCTCGCTCGAATTACCTTTTAAAATGGTAATATCGAGAGAATCTAGTAATTTTAGAATAGTTTCCGTGCGATAGGTCGTAGCTCCGAGTAGAACCGGATCAAATACAATCGGGATCTCCTTTTCGTTGGCACGTTGTCCTGCAATATGTATCCCTTGAACCCATGGCCCACTCAGTGAGTTAGAATCGATTGCGATCGCATCGGCAAGTGAAACCATGTCCTCGACCTCCTCGACTGCATGTGCCATTAATGACTTAGCACCAATATGGATTGTAGCATTACCGGTTTGATTCATCACAGCATGATTCACAATCTGATAAATTAATGGTCTTTTTTTCCGAATCGCGTCGAATGTTTGTGCCACGGCTTTCTTTAATGACGATACTGATATCGATGACATGCTAAAGATAAATGAAATACAAGTGCGTTTCATTCATAGACGCGTACTGCTAAGCATGAAGTCCATCTGTATTCTGCATTCAATACGGATCATAGAGCAACAGGCTTTGCAAGTTCAAAGAGACAAAATATGAATAGAATTATTTTCTTTAAAGTGAATAGAAATCACTGTGTTCAAATGTACATGTGAATATCGGCAACAATCTATACTGATTTCAAGGCACATTAAAAATACTGATATTTTTTCTAACCCTCTTCAAATCCGCAGAGAACAATTCACAATTCGATGTAGGTTACTTATCATTCGAATGACGATATTTGCACAAGATCAACGCGAGTATGTATCTTGAAGACGAAACAAAAAAAGAAGAAATAAGAAATGAGAGAACACATCGTCTATACAGCAATAGTGACGAAGCATCGATTGATGTTAGAAGAAATGAAGAAAAAAAACGATGCTGAGACAATACATGAATGATGACAGCCAATAAGATGTTTGGTTCTTTCTGTTTCGTTTCTTTTCCTTGTCTTTTCTTTATGTTTCTCTTTCTTTCTTTTAGTTGCTCGCTCCACTCAAGTATCTCTGTAGCTGCTTATCATTATTCCTCTCTTTTTACTTTTTACTCTCTCCATTTACTTTGTTTATTTTTTATCTACTTTCTCAATGTCCCTACGAGTGTAAGTCAATACCCAGCATATTATATTGATGGCAGACACTATAACATTTTGCTTTAATGATGCAGCTTTTCGTTTAAACATGTCTATTTCTTTCTTTTCTCGTGTAAGCATTTTCGAATGTTATAATTACGAGCATAATCAGAAAAGATGTTCGGTGTATATCTTCAATATAAACAGCAGCTTATATTGCTATTCTCTTACACTTAACACTCCTAAGATATATCACTTAATGATTTTTCTTAATATTCGATAAAACTCCATTGTCAAATGTGTAAATATGTTTCACTATGAAAATTTTGATTGTTTGACATTGTTTCAACAATAAGTATGCCGTATGATGCGTGTTCGTTCTTGACTGTTCGAATAACATAAGAAGAACAAGGAAAATACCCAACTTTAGTTACCTGAATCACAGTCATGCATGTTCAAAACATGTACCAACTCATTTTCAGTTATTTCTGTAGCATAATCTTTACCTCTATACTCTTCTGCAATGCCACAAACAATCACTGTTGAGCAGTATTGATTCGAAAGGTAATTGCACATAGGCTTCCGCATAGAAGTATATCATAGATTGCATACATGATTCACTCTTGATCATTATAATAAGGAATAGAAAATACATGATCAATCTCGCGAACAGCCACCAAGTAAATATTAATATCAGTACTGTAGAATCATGAAGAAAAACAGGCACACACCAGGAATTTTTTTGAGGGGATCCATCATGGAAAAAAATAAGTTTTTCTGTCCAAAGTGTTTTTGCTCATAGCACACTGTTGGCGTTTTTTCTTCTGAACGAGGCTCAGGTCTCATGGGTTCCTTGTTTGGTATGTGCCTAAAGACAACTCAAAAATATATATACTTACTTTAGAGAGGACGTAGGTGTGAATGAAGAGAAGACGCATATCCACACTCATACTCAAATATTGTCTAATTGTTATTTACGTCTAAATAAAGCATACTTTCCACTTTAGAAGATTATATCGTGTTTAGGCCAACGTGCTTACATAAGTTTTCTAATCATAAGTGAAAACGTTCGAATATCCTGTCCTACATATATATCCGAGGAGTTGACGGCTCAGCAATGAATATTTTCTCTTCAATTGCTTTTAACCTATTGAAATACTTCTCGCAAG